GGATGGTGCCCCAGAAGAAAGAAGAAATTCTCATTGGTCAGTGTGGTCACATGACCATGCTGATCATTCATATTGCGATACAGTCTCTGAGACTGTGTAGAATTTTTTTTAAATTCGCAGATCATTATACTGGCTGGCATGGCTGGCAGATGAGGGTCATCATTACAGGTAAGTGGTGCATGGACTGGGACAGTGAGAAGCGTGTTCTGACTTAGCTCACCTTTTAATTTTTTTGTGAAAAAGTGAACTAACCCTTTAAAAGAGAACTAAAGCCATACTTTTTTTGGTTTTAGTTCTCTTTTGGATCACAGGAGAACATTTACTAATTTACTTTATGCTGACAGCACAGAACTGCACTGCAGCCAGGCAGGATCCTGACAAATTGTCGAGATCCACGGCTCTACCTGATTGACAGCTGGCTTTGTCTCTCTAGAGCCAGAACCAAGTGTGCCTCCCCCCTCCCCTGTCTGTCCCTCCAGTGAGTGCTGGAGGAATAGAGAAATGGGGAATCCCTGCGCGTAGTGTTGACTGACAGTGACTGCTCTCGTCAGGGAGAAGATCGTGATCAGCGGTTTGTGATTACTCAGTTCTCAAGCTATAGAGCTGGCATGATACAGATACATGTCACACGGCAGCTCAAACTATTGCGAAGAGTACATTTTACTCTCCCAATAGTTCTCCTTTAAGCTCCACCTAACTAGTAGATAATGTAGTGTTATTTTCTTTTTTGTGCCCCAAATTCTTACTTGTTATTAGCTATGATTTTCTCTTTCCTGTGTCCCCCTGATCAATGTTTCCCCAGACTTCCAGTCAAGGAGTGCACCATGAGCAAAGCAGGGATCTAAATCTTTGGGACTACATGTCCCCTAAGTCCTTGTGGCCTCTCCCCAATGTGCATGTCTTGGCCGAACACTGCACAAAAGCGCTACCCATACTGTGAATTCATCCTTTGAGCATGGCACCAAGTGGAGTGTGTAGATTCAATCCTAGCTGGAGCGGGCACATCAGGGTAGTGCCAGGGAGACCCCGCAAGGCAAAAGAAACACCCTATAGGCAGAAACTCCACAAACCAGACTTTCAAAGGCCAATAATGCTGTAAAAAGGGAACATAAAAATGGTAATGTAAGGTATGCAGATACATTTATTCATTTTTTGAAGGAGGGTTTAATAACACTTTAATAACTGACCAATACTAAATATAATTCAGATTGAGGCTAACCTATTTAGGAAATTAGTTAATCAGCAATAGAAGCAGTGTAATCCATATTTTCCTGATATTGAAAGAGATGAGTTGATAACTGTGGCCTATACATACATGTTATGTTACCGAAAATGTACAGATTTGTAATTCAAATGCACAAAGACAGCATGAAAAAAATAAATTTCCCCTCACTGGTGTAGAATAATCTGATTGATACATGAGTTCCTGTGATTGTTCTCCTTTCTTTACTTTATTCTTGCCACAGTGGATGAGGGAAATGCCTATTCCAGTTAAGCATAACCTCCTTATTATTATGCCCTGATACTTTCTTTTTTCATATTTAAATATTTTATTGTGCTCTGCTTGGTAGCTGCATCTCTGATCTTAGCCACTGGAGTAATAATCATATGTCATGTTCCAATGAATTAGAGAAGTATTCATTCAGCACTGAACCTTTATTTTTATTTTGACATTACAATAAAAAGAGACTTAATATGCTGATAATACATTCATTTCAGCAGGAAGGCAAATGTTGTATCGTTTTATCATATTAAATGATACAGTCAAACAAACTTGCAATGTTATCAAATTTTCTGAAATGCGTCAATGTTCAGAGATCAGGTATTATGTCTGTCATAAAAATCATCATCAAAGGCGCTTCAACTAACTTGTTGTTTGCAGAGATATCCGTATTGCATACATATGCAGCATACAATGATAACTGATGTCTTTCATAATATAAAGGCATGACTGATTGGCTGTTCCACTTAAAGGCACAATGAATAGCAGCAGCTGTGAATGGATGACTAAAACATTTTACCATCACTCTTCAAATGACAGTTATCCTATTATTTGCTTGCCTATTTGGCATATGTTATATATCTGAACATTACCTGGGAATAAATGAAAGTTGCTTAAAATAAGCCATTCACAAACTTGGTGAACATGTTAAAAAGGTAATTTTCAGTGAAATGTATATATTAAATGAATCTTTAGATCCAGAGATGTAGGCAGTTGAAATAGGCAAAATCTCGACTTTCCCACTAAATGTCAAGCTTAGCCCCACCCACCCCCAACTACTGAGTATTTATACAGGTCACCCTAATGATGGGCAGCTTCATTAGTCAAAGAAATGGCTCAGAAGGTGGGAGGGGCAGAGCTTTTTTCTACTTTTGCCGGAACAGCTTATGTAACGTGACCTACCTGTCTAGATCTAATATCTAGTAAGCTCTGTATATAAATTTTTATCAAATACTCATTTTACCCAGGTGTGTAATAGGCTTACCCTAAATGTAAATAAGGTAAATACTGGTGAACTGATGCAAACTAGTTTAAAATCTGGCAAATGTACATCAGGCGAAGTTGCCGTTAATAAATCATGTCTAATAGCATAAATGGTTTTAATGAATAACTGAGTTAAAGTTTGTTCCATATCTTTATTTAGTGGCTATTAGTTTTACTCACCATTCATGTAACATTATAGTTATGATGGACTGCATTTATGTCACACCACCTCATTAGAAATATAGAACACGGGGTCATTTTGTCCTCAATCCTCTTTAGAGTGTTTTAACAGTTATTTTCCAGTGCAAACACGCTACAATAAAACACGCGGTAACCTTGAAACCAATGCATGTATTTTTGTTCCATTTCATGAAATTGTGTTAAATCTATATGTGTTGTGTAAAATATCATTTAAGAAAGAAGTTAAGCCTTAAGTGAGGCATATTTGCAGATGAAATCTGGATTCCTTTTCTGCATGGTTGGTCAGAATTATAATTAATTCTCCCTTGGATTAGAGATTCAGTACTGGATTAGTCTATCATTGATGACAGCATACTGTATCCGTCCAATGTGACATGCTTAAATTAAAAGAGTGCATTAACTTCAGTCATTTGTGTATGATCTAGTTCACCATGAATAATCTAGAATTGAATTTAAATAAAACACTATACTAAAAAAAGTATATATTGTGCACCACAAGTTGATTGTGTAATATATTAGTTTAAAGCCATCAGACAAATTCTATAAAAACTAAATCCATTTAACATATATCAAACTACAACAAAACAGACAAGTACATAAGATAAGTGGCAGCGTCACCAATTTCCATTTATTGTGGAAGCCTGTACCAATCTCCTGCCAGCTCATTAACTTGTCAATATGGCCGGTCAAGGACTGTTTCCAAACTTCTCCAACATATTCAGTATGCCTTTGTTGTGAGCATGTAGAGTATAACACCAAACATTACTTTACATCTCATTATTTTTTGCATAATACCTATAAAGCACACCATTGAACAATTAATAAAAAGTTGGATGCATGCAAAAATACATTTCCCTAATGGCAGACGTGATTGGGGGTTTATGTCCTTTTTCTTCAAAACCTTAGTCTTGAGATTATCTTTATTAAATATGTTTTCCCTTCAATCTGCTTTACAGAATCACTAATCGTATTCCTAGAGAACTGAGGGAATGAATTCACATTCTCACAGATATAGAATATTACCACGGCAGATAGATTTTTTTTTTTTATTAAGTTGTATCTTATAAGGGCTTGACCTGCTCTAATTTACATCCATGGCAAGTTATTATTATAACTCCTTTGCTGAATACCCTAGAATTGTTCCTCCATAAAGCCTGCTGTTGAATCAATCATGAGGATGGCTATTAGTACAGAACTGTGAGAATGTACAGAGGCAAAGGGGGTTACAGGGAAGCTTTCACTTGAATAGAGACAGCAGGACAAAGCAGCAGGGGAATCTGATTAATTTGTCAAATTGGAATAGGCATCAAGGATTTGCCAACAATCACACGTAAAAGCAAAATACTACTATTATTACTGATAATAATAATAATAATAGTAATAATAATATTAATCCATGTAATGGTCCACTGTTACATATCTAGGATAGAAACAATACACTGTACAGCAAGAAAATACTCTATCTCTATAGGTTGAATTGGATGGACTTGTGTCTTTTTTAAACCTGACTAACTATATATATATATTTCTACAGCAGCTGTAGGAACGCTATGGTTATTAGTTTAGTAGTTTTTTTAACTGTGCTTCAGCTCTGTATTACCTCTTTATTTGATATTATCAGTTCACCGACTTAGCAACTAACTTCTAAAACTTGCCCATCCTGCCTTAGTGCATCCACTGTAAAAAGAAATAATTAGAGACCAGATAGTTTTCTTGCAAGATTAACCTGGCAGAGTTTCTCACATTACATCAGAACTTTCACCAGGGATGCTTTCAAGTAAAATAGCCTAATGGTTAACTACTACAGCAATTATAGCCCAGCAGCATCTGTTCACTGCTTTGAACGTAGCCATCCTTCTATAGATCAGTCAGCATAATCCCTTCAAAAGAAAACCTTTACATCAGTAAACAGCAATCCCAATAGCACAGCTCCAGGATAAGGTGTACACGAAGGGCTCAAGGTAAATGTACACAGCTGGCCGTAGTGCTGAAATATAGACGTGAGCAATGTAAAGCTGACGGAGCTCTCCATGGTGCTGAAAGCCACTAACCCTTATCTCCTATAACCAACATGGTGATTAGTCATCTATGACTGGCTTATAACAGACATAATTAAACTGACAGCAAGTGGCAATGAGTGATCGATGCCACACAGGTAAAATAAACTAAGTTATGGTGGCATTCATGATGCCACCTACAGACTATTAACTCATCCATCTAAGCCATGCCAAAATAACAAAGTGCATGAAAATCGCCAACTGATCCCTGGATCACTGTCGCTCAAGCCTTATCAGAAAACAAAGTAAAGACTTACGTGTTCCGTCGAATCTAGTCGCTATGGTATCTAAGAAGGTGTTCTGGGGTGCCAATAATCCTTTCATAACAGGAGCTTGTAGTGATGAAAAGAGGAGGAGGGGGGTGCAGTCACTGGTGACTCCTGATTATCCCTGGGAGCGCCCGGTCCACCAGAAGTCTGCTTTATCCTGAACGCTGCAGCACAGCTGTGACCTTCCCCAGTCAGCTCTCGAAACCCGAGCAATGGATTAATGTAATCTCCGCAAAATGCCTCTGGATTTCTATTACCCAAACCAAAGTTAACCAGGCTGTAGTTCCCTAAAAAGGAGAAAAAGACAAAAAAAAAAAAGAAAAAGCCAGTAAACCAAAATCAGTCCCCCCCCCCCCCCTTTTTTTATGTCTGGAGAGCAATAATCAATACTAGGTGACAGTCTTGTTTCTCTCTTCTCAATCCCTACAACCCTGTGCTGATTATTCACTCTGTACTGTGGGTTTAAATTGCACTATGGCACTCCACAGAACCGTAACCTTCCACAGAGCTATATTTAGATGCATGCAAAAGCAAAAAAAAAAAAAGAGGAAAAAAGGATTCCTGCAAGCGGTGACTTTAGTGTGTGATACAAAAGCAGGAGGGCTGATGGAGCGAAGCTAGCCAGGAGAGCAGCTGGGACGTATGATAGCAGAACATGCAGCCCTTTCTCTATTTAATTTAGCCATTCCTCATTTGGAGAGATGTTCCCTCCTTGCATTTTCTGCAGGCTCTAGACAATGCCTCTCACACACCTCCAAAGGAAACAGGAGGATCTTTTGTGCTTTCTCTGTAGTGAGTTATGTAGGGCAACTTTGGCAGCGCGACAGCCACATCCTCAATTATTTCTAATAAGCCTGTCTATCCTCTCATCATTAGCTGCAACTGCCTCACCTATAGCCAGGAAAAGGGGAAGAGTGAAAGCTTTTAAAACTGTAGAATGCTAATATACTAATAACGATTCAATGTCTGCCCATGCACAGCAGTGAGCCTAATGGGGCTTACATAGTAATGCACAATTCAGGTCATTAAGGTGTTAACAGTGTTTGAAATCAGAGGTTTGGGAGCTCAGACAGAGTTGAAAGGATATGTTAATTTAATCAGTGAAACCTCATAAAAAGCTTTAACATGTTAATATAAATGTAAAAATCATTTTAATGATTCCTTTGCCCTGCCATAAAGGTCCTTGCTCAGGTACCTTGTATGGGCGTTACAATGCTCTGTCCCTGTCTGCCAATTGTTCTGCATATTTTAACACTATCTCTCTGGCTTCAGATGGAGTCTGCAAGTGGCCATTCCAACACAGATTACACTGGTTTGGTCCACTGTTGTCACCATCAGGGAAGCGGGCATGTCACCCTTTCACATGGGCTTCTGATTGACACTACAATTGCCTTTTTCAATGCATGTTAGACAGGCATAGTCCACTGTTGTTACCATCAGGAAATCCATCCTGAGAAATGCCATGCAGTCATTGCTTGAGTGCACGCATGTAGGCAAGAAGTGGCTGCAGCAGATCTATAGCACTGAGATGCAACAAAGGATAAAAAAAGTCAGGTACAAGTATTTTATTTAACAAATGGCCGTTGTGTATGATGCATATGTATATGAATAGCAAACAAAATGTAATTCAGTCATAGTTTGGATCTACTATAAATGAAAACAATACATTATAGTCTTTCTGGTCTCTTGCTATAGTGTGATGACATTCTCCCTCTGCCTCCCATGTGCTGTCCTGCATTGCCAGCCTGTCACACATGCTTCCAGCAGAGACAATAAGTTGTTGTGTCAATGCTCAATCCACAAGCACCGTATGCCATTATCACCATTGGGAAGCTGGTCCTGAGCATTGAGCTGGAGCAAGTGAATGTAGATTGGAAGTGGATGAAAGAGGATGGAGGAGATCAGCTGCACTATGATGCAAAATTTAAAAAAAGGTATTTTTTACAAAAAAACAAGGCAATTGTATGTGATGCACAGTGCTTTAGCAAACGAAATGTCCCCCATTTAGGGATAACATCTACTTTAATGTATAGGATTTACATACTAATGTACAATCCAGATCACTAAAACACTTTAATATTTCAAATAAAACAAGGTTGGGGTTATGAAACAGTTTAATCAGCTTTGGTAGACCAACATATTATAACTATTAAAGGAAAGCGGCTTCATAATTTATATGTACCTGTACATAACAAAGCCAGTGAAAAGAAGAAAAAAAAGAACAGTTTTAATGACTTGTGCCTAGGGGAATATGGTATTGTTTTTCTGTGGATGTTGGTAGTGCTCCTGTGCTGTATGGCTGCATGCTATTAAAAGGTAGACCTTATTCTAGCCCACAGCAATTTATCTGCAATATGTCTTCCACTCTTACTAAAACAGTCATGCTTGCATTCTCCGTGCTACCCGAGAACCTTACCCTGCCTGAAATATGACTTTTTCAAACTCCAAAACTGTAAAAAAATACAAAGGGGATTTTGTGGCATCCTTTCTTACTGTGCCTGTTCTCTTTAATCCAGTTCTTTAATTAGTTCTCTAATGCAAGCAGAACTCCAGGCAGAACTTTTCTTAGTCCTTGCATTGTGGCTACCGCTGCACTGCAAGGGTTAAGTGCTAATTTTTTTCTAGGTGCTTTTTTTCTAGGGGATACTCACCCAAACTGTGGAGCTGGCTGGCTGTTACTCCGGTCCTTGAAGCTTGTCCCCTTTTCTGCTTCAGTGATGGTATGTCCCTTGGTGTGCTGTACACTTTGTATAGAATATGATGACTGAGGGACATTAGACCGTTGCAGCAGAGGGGAAGCTAGGCTCCGGGGACCAGTCTAAAAGCAAGCTAGGTCTGAGGATCGGTTGATTATAAAAGCTGCAGCATTCTAAGGTCCCGTAAATTGTCACATTCTATAGACAGTGTATAGACGTGAAGACACTGAGGAACATTCTAATGTTGCAATGTAGGATGAGACAGGCTTCAGTGACCCTAGAAGCAGGCAGCCAGCTTGGCGGTTCGGGTGAGTATAACTTTTTTTGTACCTAGACACAAACAAGCACTTAATCCTTGCAGTGTGGGGGTAACCTCATTACAAGGTTTAGGAACCATTTTTAAACTACTTTTGGATTTCATACAGAGTTTAAAAGAGAACTATGGGGTAAGAGTTTTTCCCCATAGTTCTCTTAAGGGTCGCAGGAGGACATATACTAGCGTCCTCCCGTGACCCAAAGCTCAGCTACAGCTCACGGTATACTGAGACCGCCGCAGCCGGGATGGATCCCAACAATGCTGTCGAGATCCATCCAGCTGCATGAATGACAGCTGGCTCTGCCTATCTAGATGCAGAGCCAGCTGTTCCCACCCCCTCCCCCTTCTGTTCCTCCAGTCAGTGGGAGGGGGGGAATCCCTGCAGGGAGCCGTGACTGACAGTTACGGCTCTCTGCAGGGACATGATCAAGAAGTAAGCGAGTGACGGTATGTGTCCGTTCACTTCCTGATCTATTGAGCCGACCTGTGACAGTTGCATTGTCACACGTCGGCTCGAACTATGAGGATGAGTGATTTTCACTCACCTCATAGTTCTCCTTTAAAAAAAAAATCTGTCAAACAGAATATGCAGAATGTCATTGCTGACCTCTGTTTCTGAAAAAAAATGCTAGTTACTACTGTCATGTTGATCCAATGGCTTCTAAGCATAGGGTTAGAACAAATATACCAATCAGGAGTGTTGCCTTCACTCTGACTTTCTAATCTGAATGCTTGTTGCAGGTCAGTGACTGTACTCAACTAAAGGCAGAGACAGCCAGGCAACTTGTCAAGAGACCAGCAATGGCAGACGCAGTGTTTTCCCTACTACAGGTTTCCTTTAAAGAAGCACTCCGGGCAAAATATTTATTAATTCTTGCATTGGGGCTACCCTGAACTGCAAGGGTTAACTGCTCATTTTGGTCTAGAGAGGAAAATAAAAAATGTTACACTCACCGAATCCTCCAAGCTGGCTTGCTCTCAGACAGGTCTTCCCAGCCTTGCTCCCCCTCCGCTGCAGAGGTCTAAGGTCCCTGAGTCATCACATCCAATACACTGCATATAGGATGTGAGGATGCTGAGGGACATACCATCGTTGGAGCGGAGGAGGGGACAGGCAGGAAGGAGCGCTGTCACAGCTGTCACAAACCGCAGGATCAGAGGATCAGGCGAGTTAACCAGTGCAGTTCAGGGTAGCCCCACTTCAAGGGTTAATACAAAGTTTGCCCAGAGTTCTTCTTTAAAAGACTTGTCAATGTTCCATTAAATGAATATAAAGGTTCTTTTTTTTTTTTTTACATCTACCTCGAGTGCCCCTATAACTGACGGCTGCTGTCAATTATTATCAGAATCCACATAACAGGGATTATTTGATATTCCAGAAGCCCGGGAGATCAGCGCGGTCAGACTGACACAAAGAAAATGGTTAAATATATTCTTTTGTCTTTCAAACTTGAATTTGTCGCATGGGCTGTGTTTTTAATCTTCCTCCTGGATGTCACAGAGCAGTATGTAGCTTGTTACTAGAAGATTGCAATTTATGAGGTTATAGTGTTATGAGAAGGAAGGAAAAATAACACACAAAGGACCAGCAATGGAGATCTCCGTGTAAAAATAGCAACACCCTTTATCAGCAGTGGAGAAGTTTGTGTCGTTTTCAGGTAGCTGTCGGGTCTCCAGCAGAGAGATTTACGGTGTACAGTGCAGGGAGCAGCGTGATATAAGTGAAGTAACTGTAAGACAGTCCTATTTGGTAGGTAGAACATAAATCATTTCCTAGGAGAGACCAGTAGCTCAGAGGCAGTTGGCTCTCTGAGGAATCATCTGTGTATCCAATGCTGAGCACAAAGCTACCATCATAGCTGTAATTGGTTGCCTTTACCATGAGGTGGAGGAGATTCCCTTCTACACTGACAAGATGTTGCAGCTCCTGAGAACACCTCTGAGGCCAATAAAGACGGGATGCTCTGTCACACACTGTGCATAATAAAGCGCATCCAAACCCAAAACCACAAATGCAATATAATGCAGCTTACAGCAAGCTAA